TACTGTTCTCTTCCCCTAACACTTGTCCACACAGCACAACAGCACGATCCCACGCTCTGCACAGTCCCGACCCTGAAGCTGCCCGTGCAGGCGGAGCCTCCCGCTCAGAGCCCGGCGCAGAAGCAGCTGCAGCAGGAAACGCCACAGGCGGCCGCGCCGGGAACCCGGTCTCCAGGACCGCACAGGACGCCGTCCGGCTGCCGCCCGCCCGGGGAGGACCCAGCACAGCCCGCTCTGGCGGCTCCAGCGGCCGCAGCTCCCGTCTGCACACTGTCCGCCCCCCGCTCACCATGGCCGAGTTCCGGTGCTCTCCTCAGCTCCCCGCAGGACGCTCAAGGTGCAGCACTCATAGCTCACTCTCCAGCTACCCAGCCAAACTGCAGCACAGAACCCGCAACATGGCCGCCTGATAAAGCCCGCCTTGGGCAACCAGTTTTTGATCCTGGTTGGGCAGCATGGCGGGAAGCCCTGATTGGTTAGGGCCACTTCTGAGACCTAAGTGGCGGGAGGAGCTAGAAAGAGCACACCTTTTCCTAGCCTGTCCAGGAACAGAAGCCACCCAACCAGGGACATTAGCATCCAAGCAGAACTTGCTTGATTTGTCAGAGCAGGTAATGATGTCTTGAGAAACTCACCAGGGTCTTTGCAAAAGCATAACTCTCACCTTAAAGGGATAAGAGATAGTTTATTCTGGAGCCAAATAAGACCCAGAAACACAGATTCAGGCGACCCCAAATTCCATGTTCTAGGGTGGTAACAGTTACATTACATTTTTATAGTAACAGGACAAAGAAAAGTCATAAATCAAGACACTTTCCAAATACATTGGTGGATACATTCAGTAGGCTGGACATAGCAAAAAGGGGGGTGGAGTGTTCTACTATAGGTCTCAGATGCTATCTGATGACATTATTAAGTTTTTCTTTAATGGAATCTGCTGATCAGCTAATAAGTACCTTACAAGGAGGTTGTTTATCTGTTAATCACTGGATTTTAGGTCAGAAACAGAGATAGCCAAAGAAATGGCTATTTAGTAGTGTAAGCCATAATTGGGCACTGGACTTACAACATTCTAGACTCTCCACAGTCTCCGGAGGGCTATTCAGTTAATCAGCCTTACAGTAGAAAGTCCAGTTTGAAGACAAAGGTTTTTCTAGAAACTCATTCATACAGAGGACCCAAGGACACACTGAATGGCCAGGTGGGAGGAGGGAATTGAGCCTGGCAGGAGGACAGCAGGCAGAGCTCCCAGGTAAGAGAGGGCTATAAATAAAGAGCCAGAGGGGAGGTCAGGGAGAGCTGCATGTGGAGGTGGGGAGTGACTGAAGGCACAGTTTGCAGTAAGATCTGGTAGAAGAGGGAACTGAGTATCATGGCAGTGGGGGAGGGAGATGTCAAGAAGGAACAAGGTCCTATCTCAGAGCCAGAAGTGGCAGGTGTGGTCACAGATCAGGATCCCAGGGGGGCTCAGTGGGGACACCTCATGAGGTGCAGATGTCACGACTGCCACAGTAGACTGAACACTCCTGCAGGCTGCAATCTGGGCCTCCCAAGCCTGATTCACAGACACACACTCCTGGCAGCTTTCACTGTCCGTGGCTCTGGACGTCCCCAAGACACAGAGAGAAGCAGAAGGAGGTGTTGAGGCCCAGCGGGTTATAGGTGGCATTGCTGAAGAGGTGGCACAACATCTGCAGGTACAAGAGAGCTGGGCACAGCGGGCAAGCAGCTCCTGGAGAGCAGCCCATATCCAAGGGGCACGCTGTCTTTCGTGGTCTCCTTTTTTGTTGTTGTTCATTGTTTGAGACAGGATCTCAGGTAGCCTAAGCTAGCTTCAAACTCCCTGAGACTGTTGCTGAGAAGGACAAACATAGGATCCTTCTGCCTCCACCTCCCAAGTTCTGGAATTACAAGCATGTTGCACCACACTGATTTGTTCTTTTGCTTTTTCTTTTCTTTCCTTTTTTAATATTTTCATTATTTTATTTTATGTGTATGAGTGTTATGCCTGCATGTAGGCAAGTGCACTTGTGTCATGCAATGCCCAAGGAGGACAGAAGAGGCTGTCAGATCCCTTGGAACTGGAATTACAGACAGTTGTTATGGAACATCAATCAAAGGAACTTAAACTATAAAATATGATGAATATGTTGTTATTGGAACGATGCCTTGTATAATTTGGATAAGAAGATCTTGATGAAAAAATTGTGGCTGTTAAATAAATTTTTTAGAAAAAAGATCATGATGAGTACCTTTCATCATATTCAGTGGTTTCTCCTTAGTGTCTTTGCCAACTACTTTTCGCC